AACTGACTGATGATAAGAATCAATTTAAAAATACTAAAAAAATACCTTCTATTTAATTCTTTTTATTCACTGAATGATTCTTTTAGTAGTAATTACTAATTTTAATGTGAATTTTTAAGATTTTATGTATCATAGGTGATTTATTTTGGCATAAATGTGTTATCATCTACCTTTTGGTATGATGATTTTTTTACAATATTAAATTTAAGATGTTGTTATGTTTAATATTAAAGTAGGAAGAAAAAAAGTTTGGTTTATTGTTTGATCTGACCTATGCTTTTAGTTACTTGTCTGTGACTGGTTGTATATCTGTTAGGCATATTTGTAGCCTAGATTGGATTGATGGAATGTTACAATAAACTAGACTAAACGTCCAACTCTAGCACTTTATCTGTTAGTACCACATCCATATTTAGCTTTTTATTATTTAGACTTCCCACGTTTTGATGGAATATCTGAATGTTTGCATGGACTATATTATTATTATTTTGAGGATACCAGCACTGTGCTTATCTATAAAAAATCTTTACTTAGCTTTACTGGGGGCCTCCTTTGTCTGGTTGACATACGAACTTCCTGCTGTTGATCTCTTTCAAATAGTTCCACACAGTTAAGGGATGGGTCTGCTGAAGTTTTCTCTGTTTCGTTCCCCTGGGTTTCTGCAGCCTCCTCATGGATAGTATCTTCTTCGTATTCTAGTTGAGTAGCCTCTTCATGGACTGTGTCTTCTGTAACTTCCCCACATGGTGTAGAAGTTGCTGAATTTTCTGGACATGGTGTACATTCTTCTGGTGATGTACTTCCTCCTGGCCTATTTGTAGCAACTGTTGGGTCTGGTGCTGCACGTACTAAGTCCCTTGTACTGCGGCCATTTCTGGCCTATTGTACCAGCCCCAGATGATAGGTGAGGGTGATTGTGGAGTTATTGATGGAACGAAGATTTGCAGGGGAAACCGAAGTACTCGGAGAAAATCTGCCCCAGCGCCACTTTGTCCACCACAAACCCCACTTGACCAGACACGGGATCGAATCCGGGCCGCCGCGGTGGGAAGCCAGCGACGCCAGCGACTAACCGCTTGAGCTATGACGCGGCCCTTATAATCTATAACTTATGTGTTCTAATCAATATTGCATCACATGGGTTCGTATGGCTCGATCGAGCGGGGCGGTCTGTATCGTGTAACAAAATGGAATGACTAGTACGTATACAGTATACAACTGCGGAGTAGCGTCGCCCGATTTAGCTTGCTTGAGTTATTTTGTCATAACGCAGGTCTATGTAATAACACGCCGCTTTTCAAAATATTCGTAAAATTTCACTGAGATCATGAGAAAGATTATAGTATCGCTCTTCGCTAATAAAGCGATGCACACGTTGGTTAGTCATCAATCGGCATTACCTACAGACTCGGCCTTTGAGAAGGCAAGTTATCTTTAGACTACAAATATTTTGCTCAGCAATTTCTTCTAAAACATGTCTGCCTCTACTCATACCATCGGCTGTTGTCTCAAGAACGAAACATAGATTGCACCGAAAGACATGCGGCTTTTGACTTTTGGTTAAGTTTCCGGTATGTCTCGGTTATATGCCGGTATGCGTACCTCTTGTGAGAGCAGTGATTATGTTGTGCTATGTTTACAGAAAGCCGGAGTATTTTAATCTGGAAGGACGTCCATTACTAGGTTATGACACAGTAAACAGGGACGCAAAATGCAATACACCATTCAATGTAAACAATGACAGCACCGCTGAGAACGGTGTTCTCTGTAGTTCTGCGCCAATAGTAACGTGCAACAGTAGAGGAATTGTGGGAAGCGGGTTTTTTCTATTTGGTCCGTCCCCAGACTATATCACGAGTAACGGGACAAGCCAGTCTGCCCCGTGTGGAGTCGGGGTCGAATACATCCACCGTAGCCCTGCGGGTCGTAGGAGGCGAAGAAAAGGAAAGTCTCGAATCTGAGAGGGTAAAATATGGCCGTAAGTCTCTCGGGACTCTGACCCGAGAATGACTGCGCTGGCGAGGACCAGCAGCAATTATAAACGACAGACCATCCTGTCAGGGAGAGCGCTCCACACCAACAAACTGGAAACTGACAGTAATAAATATCTGGTCTGGGCCCCAAATGGGGGCTTGACACAAGATAGACTGGCCGACTAACCGCCGGTTGTAACATAATATCACGTGTTTGGGTGACTCTCAACGGGGTCTAATTCGTTAAACTTTCAAGTGACATGCATATGCTTTGGAACAGAAAGAAACAACATATAAATATTTAACTAATGCATCCACTCAAATCCCTCCCCCACTTTTTTATTATCCATGCGCCTTATTTCATTTCAGATCTGTTTCTTGGGCGAGTAGACATTCCATTGTTTGTTCGATTTCTAAAGGGCGGAGCGTAGGGGGTTGATGTATGACAAAGGACGTCATTGGAATTGATTTCCGGCAGCTTGTGTTGTCCTTGCAATGTTCAGTTCGTTAGTTTGTGTTGCTGGGGTCACGCGTCACTGCTGTTAGGTACAAGTGCAGGACACGGACTGACATCTGCTCCAGAGTCGGACTTAATCAAGTGATGGTGACAGCTAAGGCAACATTCTACTGAATTATATTTTTCACTATCGGGACTTTGGTATATTTTAGCAAAGGTAAGACGCTGGTCTTTTATGTTACAGGTAATGATATAAGCCAAAGGTGAAATTAGTTTTTTTAGTTTTTGTGATGGGTTGAGACTGAGTCCAATTGGTACGTCGGTCACTAACTGTCCTATTGTACCAACACCGGATGATAGACGATGATGAATGTGGAGCACTCGATGGAATGAAAATTGGCAGGGGAGACCGAGTACTTGGAGTAAACCTGCCTCAGTGCCACTTTGTCAACCACAAATCCCACATGACCTGACATGGGCTCGAACTAGGGCCGCCGCGGTGGGAAGCCAGCGACTAACCGCCTAACTTATGACGCGGCCTAAGGTGAAGTTAAGCATCATTTCATGAAAACGTACGAGGTCGATTAAAACTCGGGGAAAGGGCCCCGAGTATCTATTGACTAGAAGGCTGGTTCGACCCCAGGGCCGGTGTGGACGTTGTGGAGAAGAGGAAAGCCTCTTTCCTCTGTCAGTAATCGAACCCCGATTCCTCGGCCTTCCTGCAAGTATCCCGTCGCTGTACCGACTGAATCATTCCGGCTCCCTATTAGAATTTGTTATTGTGCACTGTGTAAAATAACTATACTTACAATGTCGCTAAACTTCCTCTGCCATCTTAATTGCCTTCATTTCATGGGGTACAAAATCGCGTGTTTACTCCATACTTTGCGAGGTCTTCCTCTGTTTGTGTCCTTGAGTCTTATGCTACAGAATTTCTGTGAATCTGAGTATTCCAATGTTGAACGGGGCAAGTTTTCTAGAATTCATACCGCCTTCCTATAATACGTAACATTATTAACATAACATAGCAAAGTACAAGCGTGAACAGCTCAGCCGGTATAGCGATGGGCTACGGGATGGACGACTGGGGTTCGATTCCAGGCAGGGGTATGGATTTTTCTTTTTCCCACAGCGTCCAAACCGGCGCTGGGGCCCACCTAGCCTCTTATCTAATGGGTACCGAGGGTAAAACGGCCGGGGCTGACCACTCACCCCCATCTAGTTCCTTCATATGCTTTCATGACATAGTGCTTAACTTACTGGGCACAGGGACATTTTTACTTTGTTTTCCCTTGTACTACAGCCCCAGTGGGCCTAGGCCTACCTCCATGAACTTCTCCGTTCACTCAGGTATTTTTACCTTTTACATGGTAAAATACTGCCAATATTTGTGAAGACAGGGAATGTAAGATTAGGGACCTCACGGCGGGGACCATGAAGATTATTTTCATTTGGGATGTGACGTAATAAAATCTTTGTAAATATTTACCGGCTTTTCGGAGGAAACTGCTACATCCATCTTCGAAGTAGAAGATGGAGATTCTGAAAATTGCTGAAATATGTACCTCCTAAACTTCGGTAAATATCTACCAGACCACGTGGCATCATCGAACACGTCGGTTCGAATCTTGACCAGGACATCAGATATCCTGACCGAGGTTTTTCGTTATTTTCGTCACTTTTTCCAGGAAAATGCTGGGATAGTCATTCGATTAGGCTGGTACTGCTTCCCTCCAAATTCTTTACAATCATTTTTCGCCTCATAACAACATCCGACGCTATGCAACCTCGACACTGAAAGAGCGTAGTTAAATAACCCACATCCCAGAAGGCAGTAATCTTCAAAACAGGGAGTGTTTATAATGCTGGGCCTCTAGTTTGTTTTAGAGTGCGATAGCTTCAGAATTTGAACAGCCCTTTAAACGAGGGTTTAGCTAAATTATAATTTAGCTAAACCCTCGTTTAAAGGGTCGAATGGTAACGATAATTATCGTTCCTTTGCAAGTTTTTCATTCGACCATTAATTCAACTTCTTTTACTGTAAGCTGCAGACATTCATTTTATACAAGTCAACACAGTGAGCTCAGGCGGTAACACATATTTTTTGTATTCAGGAGGTGCCCGGTTACACAGTTACACTCGAGTTTTTTTTCGCAGTTTTCCTGAGTTTTTTTCGGGGCAATTTCCGGGATAGGAACAAAAAGTATGTTACTACCGCTTCCTTTCACGTCCTCTCAAATTCATTCATGATCCTTCAGTCCTCCGACGTTATACAGGATTATTCATAAGTCCGTGAAACATTTTGAAAATTTACAATAAATAAACTACACAACGGATACCAAATTGTTTATATTGAAACAGAGGCTCACCAAGATTGTTTCACGTAAATCACAGATGCTCAGTGTGTCCGCCTTTGCTGATACGGCAGACATCTGCGCGATAATCCATTTCGTCCCACACCCGTGTAAGCATATCACGGTTGACCTGAACCACAGTAGCGGCGATACGGTTGCGAACATCCCTGAAATTAGCAGGCAATGGAGGCTTTATAAAAAAACTTGAAGAGAGCCATTCTCTATCGGCGTAAAAATTACCATGATCCGATACACAGTGTATTTCTTGTGAATTTTTAAAATGTTTCACGGACTTCTGAATAACCCTGTATTATCGAGCTGCCGACAGCATTGCTAAACACACCACAAACAAACATACAATGGATTTGAAAAAAATGATGTGAAATATGATATGCTCTTTTCTTACAGTATGAAATTCTTCACATCTTTATGATACGAAAGAAATAATCGAGAAAAATGATGGTAAGAAACGAAAGCAACTTTATGAAAGACTTTCATGTCCAAGGAAAAAGTCTTCTGGGTTCTGTAGATGGCATCAATGACATGTCACCCAAGAAAAAGAAAAGCAAACGACTGCCTGGCCGGAGCAAATCGCTCGTGGACACGAATTCTAACAGCAGAGTGACTGACACTAACCGAAACGTCGGGCGATATACACAATCGTACCTCCGACGTGTACCAACACAGGACGATATTTACAAGATCATAACTGAAACCAGTGACGTCATAAGGCCATCAACATCGACCGGAGAGTCAAAGGGATTATCACCTTACGCGCCACTGCCTGCTATTGGAACCAAGTTTAGACCACTAAACACCACTGACAACAAAGTGACAGAGATGCACGAGTCCATTTCGGCAGCGTCATGCGACGACAGCGCCCAAAAACTCGTTAGGGAAGGGACCTACAATGTGTTAGAACCAAAATTCGTTAGAGGCCCAATTCCTAAAAATTTGTCTCGAAACATATTTGATAACTTTAAAGAAAAGGAGAAGAAAATAAGGCCAAGAAAAGTCGAGAAACAACTTAAAGAATTATCCGCATCTATCGTGTTCGGACCTCGGTTGCCGAAAGAGGAAAGAGATATTATGGAAGAGGATTTAATGGCTACTGACTTGCCAGTCCAGACATTGCAAGGGGATTCTTCAACTGTCAGTGACTCAGATGCAAACAATCAAGATAAGAAAAACTTTTCAGTGACTCAGGTAAACATCATTCCAGTGCAAAAACTGTACTACCGAGTCTCAGAACAAAATGAGAGTCTCCTGCCGGCTAACGATTTGACTACCGTTAACACTGATGATCCTACAGACCAAGGGGCAGATTATAAACCCAAAGTTCACCAGTCCCTTTGGTTTGATTAATGAGTCTTCCCAAATCTTTACTATTACACAGGACATAGAGTCTATAGAGACGTCAGTCATTTTGTACATTCTGGAAGTTCTGTTACATCTTCAGTAGTTTTAAGATATTTGCTCTAGCTAGTGTATGCTAACTTATTTAATACAGAGGCTGAAGTTTCCTTCTCAAACTGAGAGGTTGACAATTAAAGAAACTAATTTCTTATGTTTCCATTGTGTGTAAAATCTTTAATAAATATAATTCTTCTATTTTCTTTCGCGTGTTTTAATATTCTATTAAGAAAGCGAAATAAGTTAGATTTAGCGGGAGTATAGGCGGTCAGATGGGACAGGAGTGGCACCAAACCAGCAGGCGAATAAGGAAACGGACCACTAGGACGACGTACACGTAGGTGTATTATATATTATAATGTATCCTAGAGACGTAGGATGGGGTGGCATGGACTGGATTGCTTTGGCTCAGGGTAGGGGCCAGTGGAGGGCTGTTGTGAACAAGATAATGAACTTTCGGCTTGCATAAAATGTTGGGAAATTCGTGAGTAACCGCAAAATTGGCGACTTTTGAAGAAGGGCTCAGCTCCATGGAGTTAGTTATTGTTGCCCTTTAAAAAGAAAGCTAGAACGAGAACCGTTTTTATCAGCTCTTAGTAAGCACTGCCCATGTTTAACACCATCGCCTTTAAGAGAAGTGCTAAGACAGCCTTCCCGCAATCAACTGAAGCACCAGAGCGGTGCCGTGGGTAGAAGTTTACTGACGTTTCGGAGGAATATAATATATCCATCTTCAAGGTCGAAGAATACAATTAACGATAAGCAGATTATGTTTGGCTTATTCTTCGACCCTGAAGATGCAAGAATTAAGGTCCCTGAAAATATTTACCAGACTACACGTCATAACGTTGCAGATAGTACTGTTCATAATCACCACGGTCGGAACCTCTGCTCCGGCCGTGAGTCGAACCTCGATAATTCGGCGCATAGCCTAGTCTCTACACTGCCTAAGCTATCCCGGATATGACAGTTCAGTTTAGAATAATTTATATTCAAGTCTGTTATCTTAAAGTATGAAGATTGAAGTTTATAGTAGTATAAATTTATGTGATTTGGAACGTGGCCTTCCACAGGATGGGAAGGAAATCGTTTGGGAACAGGAGAACGAATCGAATGTCACGGTAACATCCCTACTTCGTATTCGGGACTTCCCGTGTGCAAACTTCGTCTCGGAGACCAGGTATCCTGCCTCTTGATTTTAGCATTTTTATATCCGTTACTGTAGCAGATACTTACTTACTTACTTACTTACTTACTCACTCACTCATGGAGCTGAGCCCTTCTGGAGGAGCCGCCAATTCTGCAGCTACTCAAGAATTTCCCAGCATTTTATGGAACCCGAAGGTTCATCACCGTCTTCACAAGAGCCCTCTACTGGTCCCTATCCTGAGCCAGATCTATCCAATCCATAAGATCCATTATAATATTCTCCACCCACCTACTGGGATAATAACGTTACCTATCGCAGATAATTTCCTTCCGCATCCTTTCAAATTCAGTATTCCTTACTGACCGATAATACAAGCATATCACTACAGAATTTGAGGAATTGAAGGCATCTCTAAATAAACCAACAACAAAATGAATAACGTTATGTTCTCGTGCTGTCTGCCTAATGTTTATTTCTTTATAGTTAATTACCGACGCTTTCTCTGTCCCACGCTATATGGCGCGTGAACGTGTTGGAAAGGATGGGCATGGGAGCCGGGATAGTTCACTCGGTCTTGCTAGGGTCTGGGCGACCGAGGAATTCAATTCCCGGCAGAGGCAGGACGTTCATTTATATCTTTTCTGCATTGCGTCTAGACCGGCTCTGGATCCCATCCACCCTCTTATCTAGTGGGTATCTGGGATGGCAGAGCGACCACTTGCTTCCATCATGTGCTGAGGTTGAAAATACATGGAATATGTCTCCACTCCCTCAAACGTCTCTATGGCATAGTGCATAATTAATTAAACATAAAGACAGTTTTATTTTAACTTTAAAGGATGTGGAAGGAAGCTGTCGTGGATTAATGTGAGATACTGTCCCGATACGAGGACAGAGGAATACGAAGAAAACCCGGAGTGCGGATAGGGTTTCGAACCGAACACCTTCAGACTGCAAGTCAGGGCGTTAATATTCGAGCCAACCTGTCCGTTTCTTCACTCAGTATTGTTAAGAGCCATGGGTAATGGAATGCTTATTAGATCCTTCTGCGGCGACACTTATGCGCCGAACAGACTTGTTTCTGTGTTACTTCCTCGCGGTTGCTAAGGTCATATTATTAAGTGTCCACACCGCGTGACAGCAGTCTCCAAGAGAAATGGGTGGGGGAGAAATCAATTTCATATGAATTTGACCGAATAATAAGCATGCAAACATAAAAGTGTGACACTTTACACGACTGAAAACATAAAATATCAGTGAGTTAACGATTTTCTGTTATTTTGTACACGTTTTATTACAGGGAGCCGTGATCGCTTACTAAGTATAACGACTGTCTACGAGCTGGACGGACAGGGTTCGACTCCCGGCAGGTGCAAGAGATGTTTTTTCTTTTCTGTAGCTTCCAGAGCGGCTCTGGGGCACACCCAGCCTCTTATCCAATAGGTAACAGTGGCTCTATCCCCGGGGATAAAGCGGCCGGAGTAATAAGCTGACCACTCACCTCCGTCTAGTGCCGAGATCAAGAACGGCGGAGCTACAACTGCACTCCCCAATACGTTTTAATTACGTGGTGCTTAAATAATTAAGCGCAGGGACAGCTTTACTTTTTACCTGTTACAGATGGACTTAGTAAGCGTGTTATATAAAGTTACCCCTTAACAGTACGGTAGTTACTATGTAACCGTTTTAACGTAGATTTCTGTATTTTACCACCGAATGTTGCAGCGAGTTGCTGGCATTCCTGATTCTATTCGTGATGTCTCGGGTTCAAAACTCGGCCAGGAGACCGGTCAACCTGAGAACTGTGATACGTTTCTTCACTTTTTCCACGTAAATTCCAGAACAGTACCTCAAATTATGTCATCACTGCTTCCTTCCATATCCTTTCCAATTCATTATTCACTATTAATCCTGCCATTCAAATTTAATGATTTGTTACTGAAAACACCTTTAAATAAAGTAACGTTAAATTTGTGCCTGGGTTTAATTAAGCATCACAGAATGAGGACGTATGGGAGGAATGGAAGTAATGTCCCATACATTGTTAACCTCAGCACTACGGTGGAAGGAAACAAAAAGTTCTAACGGAGCGAGGACCCCTCCCCCCATTGCGCCTTTCCGTCTTGCGACCCCTTTACCCGACCCCCACTCTTCCTTCTACTCATGCTTTAAATAAATGGCAGGATTACTCTTCTAGAGCGTCAGGCCTGAAAGGTTAATCAGGATCAGACTGAGGAAGAAGGTTGAGTGGATAAATGTGGTTCTTTTCTTGTTTTGTGACTGATGTAGACTGGACAGTGTGCTTTAGTTAGAATCCATACTACAGTTAACTTGTAGACAGTAGTGTAGGACCCAGGGGCTTTTTTTCCTTTGGCGCTACAGAACACATTTGCGCCTTGGCCCACCTCCATGAAAAAAAAATCGTTTCACTTCGGTTTACTAGATCTTAGGGCATTCGGTAGGACTCCTTGGGCAGGTGATCAGTTCATCGCAAGGCCTTGCACACAGACACAGGAAAGCGCACGCATGCGCGCACACATACTACACATCCATGCCCTGAGTGGGATTTGAGCCCTGCTTCCGAGCGAGCGAAAACAGTGCATGCCTTAGACCCCTGGGCTGTCGTGCTGACATCATTGAGCTCTTAAGCTTATTAAGTCTATTTTGACAGGTGATCTGAATGCTAAGCACCCATTTTGGGATAGTGCAGTTTCAAACCTTCCAGGTGAGAAACTCATGGATTTATTTCATTTGAATGAATTCAAAATTTCAGCACCACAATGCCCCACTCATTACTCCCCTGTGGGAAACGGTGATGTGCTGGATATTGTGGTCCACCAAAACATCTGACTGTCAAATGGCACTGTCTCTGATATTTTGAATTCAAATCAACTACTGATAGTATTCCAAATACTGCATCATGTCAAAATTAGGAATCATTCGGAACCTATTGAAAAATTCACAGATAGGGATCAGTTTCAGAGCCTTGCCTCTGAATTAATATCACTTAAATCAAAATTAAATCGGTGGTAGAAGCCGATAAAGCGGTATGTAACTTTACAGCTTCTATTGCTACGGCATATAGGTTGTCGACAAGTAAAGTTACACTTTTGGACATAAACAACGATCTTCCTGGTCTAGATCATTTGTTAAAACATAAGCAGATGCTACAAAATTGTGGCAAGAAACCAGGGATCCAGCAGTAAAACAGCAGCTAACTGGGTCACAAAGTCAATTAGGTGAATGACCCATAAAAAGACACTTGAACGGTGGGAAACAAAGATAGGTAACACTGAAGTCACACCTCAGGCTATATGGACATTGCGAAATCCCTCCTAAAGAGGGATGGACCAAGGGCACCAACTGCTATTCATAGCTTGGAATTGAGAAAGGCCTGCGGAACTGATGGCATTCCAAATCAGTGTCTCAGGCACCTTCCAAGGCGACCTTTGCTACATTAGACCCATTTATTCAATCATTGCCTTAAGCTGTCCCATTTTCCAAGTCCTTGGAAGGAAGCAAAAGTCATAACCTTACAGAAATCTGGTAAGGATCCAAAGTTCCCTCAAAATTTATATCTGATTAGCCTCCTGTCCATAACAAGAAAACTATTCGAGAAAGTCATTCTGAAAATATTCCAAAAGCACATTGAAGAAAGAGGCCTGCTTAATGCAGGCCAGTTTGGTTTCCGTGCATGTCACAGCACAACACTGCAACGGATGAGGCCAACAGACGATGTGACCCTTAATTTCAACAATAAAATGTCTAAGGCTGCAGTGTTCTTGGACATCGAAAAAGTCTTTGATACTACATGGCACTTGGGCTTGCTATATAAGTTGTCAAAACTGGAAATTTCAACCAACTTAATCAAGCTTATTGGATCATTTCTTTCACAATGAAAATTCAGTGTTTTGGTGGAAGGAAAAATATCTATGCCAAGGGAAAGTCAAGCAGGGATGCCACAAGGTTCGGTCCTGTCCCCTACTCTTTTCAATATGTATATAAATGATGCCCCCCAAACACACGGAATTCAGCTAGCCCTCTTTGCAGACAACACTTGTCTGTATGTGACAGATCGCAAGGAGAGTTTTATTGTCAGAAAACTCCAGCACGGTCTCAGCTCAATAGAGACCTGGTGTGAGCGCTGGAATATAACAAGTAACAAAGATAAGACTAGGGGGATCTACTTCTCTCGTAGCTGCTGACCACCTGAGTCTTGTCTTATGTTAAATGGATTAAATATTCCATTTGTAAATAGTGCAAAATATCTCGGTGTAATCTTTGATAATAAAGTTACGTGGAGATTGAACATAGAAATGTTTGTAGCCAAGGCTTTCAGAACATTCATTAGAGTATATTCCCTATTCAGAAGCGAGCGATTGAGCACTAACATTAAATTGAGCCCTCCACAAAGCTCTCATTAGCTCTGTAATGACTTATGCTAATCCCGCCTGGGAATTCACGGCAGGTACCCATCTAATGAAATTGTAGTGCTTGCAAAACAAGGTTCTCCGCACCATTGGCAATTTTCCAAGGTGCAGACTGGTTCGCAATTAACACAGAGCTTTCAAAATTCCATACGTATATGATTATGTAACAAAATTATGTAGGCAACAAGCAGAAGTCATACAAAATCATGATGATGAGAATGTTCACAACATTAGACAAGGCGAAGCCCAAAGAAAATATAAGAGGCTTGAACTTAGTGGTGATCAAGCATATGACTGTTCAAATGACTAGACTGCTGTTGTAGCAGAATATACTAAAGATAATCCATTGCTGTACTGAGCCTGGACTGACAGAGGCCTTGTATATACAAACAGTAATGAGAGGCAATATGTAAATAATTGTACATACTGACAATGGACTCCATACTACCGACTATGACTGACAAATGACAGACCCGACCTCTCATCAGAGAGGGCACCCCATATGGACAGGACAATAACTTTCAAACAAGAATGAATATCTGGTAAGAAGGCCCAGATGGGGGCTTGACACCAAGACAGACAGACTGACTGACTAGAGCATCAGGCAAGGGTCACCAGCAGGCAGGCTAGGATGACAGAGTGAGGAACAAACCCTCTCCTCCAAATAACTCTTATCCCCATTGTCTGCAAAAATTATTTGGCTGGCTCAGTTAGAGAAGAAGATGAATGGTCAGCTTCACATCTCAGCCACTATAGCTTCCAGGAAATGACCACTGATAGATACCCACTGGATAAAGGGCTGGGCACTGTGAAGCAAAGCATTTGTCCCTGCTAGAATTGAGCAGTTGACCTTTCAGATCTTGTACCTCAATTTAATGTCAATGTGAAGAATATTATTTCTTTTGGCATGTGATTTTGTGTAGGTTGGTATGTACACACCAGTGTTTCAGAGGAACCTGTGGCCTCCATCTTCAAGGTAAAAGAGATCTCTGAGACATAGGTACTGACCTACCAAATTACATCATGTCACATCCCAGTAGTCACTAATCTTCATAGTAATCACCACAAAAACTTCAAATCTCAAACAGCATGACTGCAATCAAAACAACAACTGTCACTCTTGTGTCCTTGTAATCACTCCGTTTATTAATATATGCTTATTTCAGAAATTAACTCAGTATTAATGATTATATATATATATATTTATTTATGCTGATTTTGTGTACCTACAAATGTACAGAAATATTTTATCGTAATTATATAAAGTAAGTCTAACATGATGAGCAGTTTCTTCAGAACCACCATTAATTGAAAACTTAAGTTTAGTGTAAGAAAGACATTCCTTCAAAGATTCATTACATAGAGATTTCACACTAGTTCAATCTGCTACTGTGTGTTCCACTTTTTTTGCCATCTATGTGCAATGTCGGTTAATATTCTCTCATCGTCTGCCAGCAACAACCAGAACCCTTATGAAGCGATTTTACGATCCTGGGAGTTTGGAAGAGTTTAAGTTGCTGCAGCAACATGTTGTCAGCCTTGGATGGAATCTGCTACTTGGTCTGGAAGAAGTTTGATGTGGGTGTATGGATGGAAAGAAGCTCTAGTGGCCGTCTTCAATGTCCATGGCGATGCACCCACAACTCTGATTGAATGACTTTTATGAGTACCTGGGTGTCCCAACTGGCTACCATGTAGCACAGTCAGCTGAGAAGGTACTCGTGAAGATAAATGAGAACTTGGACAAGGTGGATGATTAGGTCCTCGCTCCAAGGAAGAAGTCAGACACCATTAACACATTTGTTTTACCATGCATCTCCTTCATTCTTAAGAATAGAGTCAAAGTCATGGGAAGAGATGGCTGAACCTCCTCCAACACGCTGGGGCTGAGCTGCTATGCCTGAGTTATCAGATGAGAGGCGTCAATGTACTTCTGATGAACTTACTCGCCAATGTCAGTTAGTTGGGTCACAGAAGCCACCTGCTTCAGTTGACCACCCTGAGGACATTGTCTAACACAGTTCTCCAAACCGTGGTGTAGAAATGAATCAGATGAATTGCACAGCCATGTGACCTAGAGGACTATCTCAGTGGTCAAATGGACTGCAATTTTCGCCAGTGAGAGCACTGACATCACTGAAGTCTGGATCTGCCTTTGATGGGCAACCAGAATTCAAAAGAAAATCAATGTCAAACGGCTCCTGGCCGCCAGCCAACTGTAGCTCAACACCACCAACCTGCAAGCTAAGGATGCAGAATACTCGCTGTGGAGTGCAGCAAGAGAACACTTCAGGCGATGACTCATCAACAAATGAGATCAGGTTACAAGTGCAGCAATGCCGCCTAACCATTTTATGCAAAATGTGGATTTAATCCATTTTGCAGTGGAACTTCATTCACTGTGCATGACTGGGCCACGTCACTGAAGGGTACCCACTGATTCAAAAACGGCAACAAGCAATGGCACAAGTGGGGACATGATAATAAGACCTGCTGCACATCTTGACCATGGCAAACCCCACCTTGCTGCTATTACTCATTGACATAAGCTGTGCTTGACTGGCTGGTGAAGGCCACATGAGGGAACAACAGTCTGAGGGAACCAAACCATCTCTGGCCTCAATGGCAGACTGCAGTCTGATCTTCCCATTATCAGTGGGGTGAAGTCCGCTGCAATCATTGATGTGGCTGGATGGAGATAATATGATGAAGTGGGGTGAAGCAGGAAGAAAGTGATACTCCTATGTATAATATAACTAAAAGAACTTTAAAATATGATCTTTTTCTTTTTTCTTATGTACTTTTGTTTCTTCTTCTTCTTCTTCTTCTTCTTCTTTTGATTGTTAAAAAAGTCTATTGTGTAAGCTTAAGTTTCAAGTGTCATAATGTGTGTGTCACTTATTTCTCTTTGTGTCTGAAGATGACATACTTCCAAATTGGCATTTAAACCTCATGACTAGGGCCCGGATCTTTATGTGCTAAAAAGCGGGAAAATATGCACCAAAAATAAAACAATATCCACTTAAGAAGCAGGTCACTTTATTCAGAATCACCTATTTACATGCACCATTCACTGCAGAAAGTAGCATCACAATAGGCAACAAGAAGTCTTTCAATGTTTTCTGGAGACAAACTATGTCTATTGTCATCAAAATGAGTTTATAGGCTGAGAATGATATTTGTACATCAACTGACGTGATTGGACAGTATTTATACACTGGCACCGAAGGTTCGGAACATTCATCTGGCAAAGATACCCTAATTCCACTCAAGTACTGACTAACTGACTGAATCTTTTTTAGTCCTGGGTTCGAATTCAAGACCATTTCTGACTTGCATTTAATCTTGTCTCCAATTTCACCTAGTGCGAAATTCAGTGAACAAGTTTGTTTCTGAACGAGTTCAAGTGAGTTGTGAAGGAGTGCACCACAAGATTCTAAACTCTCAATGGCTTTTGAAACTGTAGAAAAATGTTCATGGATAAAATTCACATCTTGATAAGCAGTATCACTTCCAAACACCACTTTGCTTCACGGACACATGCATACACGTCTTCAAGTTTTGTAACCACTTCTTTTACTTGATTGAAATTCTCCTGATAAAATGAAACTGCCGATAACCATGTCTCCCACCTAGTTAGGGCAGGTTCAGGTGGCAGAGGAACCTGAGGTAGGCAATCTTTGTATAACTTGACACAAGCTGGTGCTTTCAGAAACAGTTTTTTTCCACTTGCAATTAAATCGTTACCAGCTGGAAACTGTGCGCGTATTTTTTCTGCAATACGGTGTAATCTGTGAGCTAAACAGGTTACGTGTATAAGATTTGGATAAAATACTTTTAACGTCTATGCTGCTTTCAACATATAGAAGGCACCTTACAACAATTATTCTCAATTTCAGATGGCCATAGTAGTCAGAATCATTTACAAATCTTGCTATTGTGCTATGGTTGGTTTTCTCTAGTACTTTGCAAGCAAGAAGATGAGGTTTGCCGGGTTCATCTGGATGTAGCTTACGAACTACGAAATTTGCTATGTATCGGTCACATAAATCGGTTGTCTCATCCTTAATTATCATTAATTTCAAACATATATGCAGAAATATGCTCTTATGTTTAGAATATGCAATAACAACCAAAAACCCTCAAAATATGCATTTGCATATGCACATATGCATTTTCAAAAAATCCAGGCCCTACTCATGACCCACAAAGAGGAGTAGCCCAGGAGGCTGTCCCTTACAACCATTGTTTTATACTGACAACTCTATTATTTCAAATATTTGTTTACTTGTTTGATGGCCCACCACCATACAAGCTTCCTCACAACAACATACAAGACAGCAACAGCCAACCAACATAACCTGCAATTAGTCTGTGGCAATAATGTGAGAAAAGCATAACAGTGTTACAGTGAGCAACAGAGTTCTTCCTTACAACAACCTGTACACCTGATGATGGCTGGTTATGCTGAAACATGCAGTGACAATAAAGAAGACAAGAGTATTAACCGGTGTTGAACACAGATGGCAGAAAAGTGGAATGCAAAGTCAGATCTATGCAATGCAACAGGATGCTGCAATTTAATATTATGGATTTGCTACATTCTTACAGGATTTATTAATAAGTTTTTGTCTTGCGTTCTGAAGAAATAACAGAAAACCCATAAAGTGAGCAGTAATTTAGGGAACACAAAAAAGCAGTTTTTGGACTGTGATCTTGAGAGCAGATATACCCTGAAGATGGAGGAAGCAAATTCCTCCAAAACATTTGTAACCACCTACAATGTCACAACCCAGAAGAACACAATCTAAATTTTCACTGCCATGAAAAATTCAAATCACTTTGCAAGTTTCAGACAGAATTTTTGTAAGTTTGCAGCAGGATACACTTGTTCACATAACCCACACATTAAATTAAGACACATTTCCAGTGTTGGCTTGAAGTTTTGTAATTTCGGCTTTGAATTTCACAATTGTCTCTTTTGCCAGTTTCACCCTTTCCTTCAGGTCACCGATCTCATAACGAATTTTATTTTTGGCATTCAATATATTCTGCAATGTCTTCTCCTTCTTCTCTTCAACTGAAAAAGGCAAATATGATAGTTACAAAGTTATTTCAGATAGAAAGAAAAATATGAAAAGGGATCAGAAAAAAATTATAAGACATTCAGTTTTCATTGCTTCTTTCAGAAAGTGACATATGAAAGTAGGTAAGATATTTGTGATTGCAAATTTTTGTAAAATAATCACAGAGTAATGATCTTTAATTTTCTGCATCCTGTTGTCTAGTTGTATTATACTGGGACTGAATGACAGTCAATGAAACTTATTTTGACACATAATATGATAATATTAAAAACTGCTACAAGTTTTGACCATTTCTGGTGATCTTCAGGTGCTACACAGTAGTGGTGGTCATGATATTTTAGCCTACTCTCCTAAAATGGGCTTATGTGATCTCCTTTCTGTCTGTGTGTCTCCACAGGGCAATTGGACCTCCTCCTCCTATATCTCAGGGGGAGACTGAATATTGTCTGTGTTCAGTATCTGTTTAATACATCAGATTGGCCCAAGGAAAGAACACAAAGTGTAACATCCAAAAGATTTTTACTCTTCTAGACATTTATGTGTTTTAGAAATGTGGTGTTCTCTTAGACAAGGGGGTCCAACCTTTCCATGTAGGTGCGTGACTGAGCACAGCAGCAGACCTCCTCCTCCTCCCTCTCAGATGGAGTCACAGTCAGAGTCGGAGTTACTTTATGACTGGCCAATCAGTCTGCCTTCGTGCCAAGCCCCTTGACACCCACAACCAGTATTTCATTTTTCAAATGAACACTTGAGGTTATAGTCTTTATGTAACATCCTATCTGACGAGAGGATGGGTCTGTCATTTACAATTGCTCCTGGCCCTCACCAGTGCAGTTATTCTTGGGTCCGAGTACCACGGGACTCATGACCATATTTTACTGTCTCAGACTTGAGAAATCTGGATGACCAGGTCCCTGTATTTATATCCCCCAGGAACAGGATGGCCCAGTTATACACACAGACACTGGGTTCCCTTTTTGTCACCTCCTACTACAACTAGCAGGGCTAGAGTGGAGGCATTTGAACCAGCCTTCACACAGGGATCTCAGATGGAGACAATACAGTGTCTTAAATGTATATAATACACTGGGGCAGACTGAAGAGAGAACACTTAGTGTAACACCCAAAAGACAGAGGAGAATGCCATTGCTAGGCAATGGCAATAAACACGTTCCTGCCATTGCTAGGCAACAGCCTTTATATTACTGCACATGTGTAGGCAAGTTCAAATGTGTTTTTAGTCTAATGTCCTTATTCTGAAGGAAATAAGTAGGTTTATAAGATCACCTTACTCCGCGCGTGCATGTGTATTCCCCCTACTGTTGCTAGGCAATGGCTCGGTAAACAGGTTCTCAAGGCAACAAATTCATATGCTACAAAAGAATGGCTGGATGCATCATTTTCTATGTGGAACACACCAATATCAAACGAAAGTATACGATTAGTTCTCCCCAGAACTTCTTGTTAATATATATTATTATATCTAAATACAAAGGAGTCAGGATAGTGTAGTTGCTACAGCGACTGGCTATGAGCTGGATAATCAAGGGGTTGGAGTTTGAGACCTAGTAGGGTCAAGAATTTTCACTTCTCCTTGTCCTCCAGATTGGCTCTGGGGTTGACACAACCCCCTATCCAATGGGTAGTGGGGACTCTTTCTCTGGAGGTAAAGTGGCCAAGGTGTGAAGCTGACGAACCGCCTCCAGCTAATTCTGAGGTGAAGAAAATGAGGATCTATACATCCACTCCCCCATACACCTTCATGGAGTAGTGCTTAATTAGTTATGAGCAGGGCCTGGATTTTGATGACATGTCATCTTTTTTCCTTGTATCCTATGCGATGTTCTTAAATATATAAATCTCTGATATGAGGTGCTGGTTACAGAAATGTAAATTGTATAGGTAATTTTTTGTCATTTTTAGGTTTAAGGTCATTGTTTTCATTTTTGGGATAATTTTTGGACTTTTAAGGGTATTTCTTGTCTTTTTGGCCATTTTAGAGAATTTTTCTTCATATGTTTTCTGAAATGTGAATAACATGAGAGCGAAGTGTTCTTTCTTTTCTCCTTTAGGTCATTTTTCTGTTTTTTTGGCCATTTTTTGAATATTTTCAGGTTGTCAAAATCCGGGCCCTGCATATTACATTTTTGGGTCATATTTTAGGTAATTTTTCTGGATTTTTTGGTCATTTTTTAAATATTTTCAGGTCATCAAAATCCAGGCCCTGGTTATGAGTATGAGTATGAGGGGTGAGCCATAAAACTGGCCCTAGTACTGCGACCTTCAATGGTCTATTGTGCTTCTCCTTTGGGTTAACCCTTTAGTAATTCTACACATCAAATGAAATGTAGGACTTTGTTGACAGGGCATCATAAATGCCACTTGATTCCATGAAGAACTGACCCAGGTGGTGATATCTTAAATAAGCTATAGCCCCACAATCACATGAGATTTGTGTGGCTGATTCATCTTCTTGTAAGCACCTCTCACAAGTTGGATCCTCTGTCAGTCCCAGTTTGGCTTAATTAGTTAAGTAGAGGGACAACTTTGGATCTAAGTATAATCTATATAACTACAAATAAACTTAACTGAGTTGACAACATCTCTGTTGTACATGAAAGCTTTTCACTTCATTTTACTGCATCAGAAAACACAAAGCTCTACTTCACTTACAATCAGTCTCGTGTTTCCATGTCCCATGTGAAAGCTGTCGAGTTGTTGTAAGTAAATGTTGCATCAAAACTGTTGGGTCTTGAAATACAATTTCTTCATAAAATTCAGAAACAAGCATCTTTCTTCCTTGCATTACATCTGGTCCAGACTGAAATAACTTCAGGATGTGGTACAAAGTCACCTAAAACAATATTCTGTGTTTACTTTAAAATGTACTTACAATTATGCTATTAGATTTATGAAGTTACAGATATCACTTCCATAATAAACAAACAAAGCAAGTCATGGTCTCTTGAACCACTTTACATGTACAGTAAGTTTAGTAATTACTTTGGGTGAACAGGTTTAGTTAATTTGTATGCTAGTATGTCAAATGCCAATCACAGTGGCCACAGGGTCTAAGGCTTCACCCGCTTGAAAGCTGGGATCGTGGGTTTGAATCCCACACAAGGCATGGATGTTTGTGTTTATTCTGCATTTGTATAGGTAGTGGCCTTTGGATGGGCTGATCCCCCATCCAAGAATTTCAAGGATGCCCTGTGCTCCAAAGTATGGGGGGGAACAGAGAGAGAAGNTGCATATGTGTGTGTTATTATAAACTAACATTTGAAAAGAGTGTGAAATTTGAGGATTTCATGTCACTGACTATGAAGATCAGTGTCTTCTGGGATGTGATGTTAAGCATTTTGCTAGATAGGTACCCACATGTCACCGGAATTTACGGTTTCCATCTTCATAGTATCCTGTGTGCCCCCCCCCCGACCACACGCGCGCACGTGCACACACACACACACACAAAATTCTACTTGTCCAGTAATTACCCTGTCTATAAATTTATTTATGATTGTATGATTAGTTTTCTATATTTAAAACAGTAACATCCTGAAATTTATACTGGAAATGTCTCTTTTTACTTTTTACATGGATACTGTATATGAACATTCCTTTCAATGCATTGCATGGTACAGTGGATCCTTGGTTTATGACAGTTTGATTGACACAAATTTGAATATCCACCAGTTTGAAAAATTTCTAGTAATTTCCTTTGTTTTCCCACCAAAACTGTTGGATAGCTATTTGCAGCCTCTTGCAAATGAGGAACTGGAAGATTTGGCTGTACAACTGACTCAGAAACAGCAGCAACAAGGGGGGGGGGAAGCCTATTTTATTGTCTATGGAAACCCATGACCTGCAGGAAATTCTGGCTGGGATTGATGGGTACCTGCAAAGGTTAAGTGATATTGATCCTGTTTGGGAATGGAGCTGTGCGGAAGCCCTACTGCCACGTTCTGCAGGAGAGGAGGTGTCAAACAAGGCAAATAACACTTTCTTATTTTAAAAAGAAATCTGGAGAGCCACCATTTGATCCAAAGATGCCAGAAGACGATCCTGCTAACCCTGATGATCCACAGCCAGGGCATTCCTCTCATCAATAACATTTACATATTTATATTTTATGAAACAATAAATGTGATACAAATCCATGTATATGGTGTTTATGTTTAAAATATATAAATATTTTGTATTATTTTATGAATGAGTGTCCCAATTTTTGTATACTGGAAATGCATCCAATTGAAATACGTTATAATTTGTCTTTCACTATGCTAATTTGATATATGCCGGAACCTCCAGGACCTAGCCCTTGTGTAAAACAAGGGTCTACTGTATTACATGTCAGGTTCATAACATATCTTCATAAAAACATGCATTTAGAGAGATATCAACATTAATAACATAATAAGATGGTGACATAAAGTTTATGACAGTTTCCATTAATTGTTATGAAGAGGGCTGAAAATAAGGATATATGTGGGTAGACAGCATCTACTTATGTACTCAGTGCTTTATTTCCATTGCCTTAAGACGACATAACTACTGTTTCCAAGAATAATATATGCAGGAACTAATTCACATGCGTACATTGTAACAATTTCCTTCTAGTATGCACTGGTCATTCCCCAGGCTTTTTACTGATCTTGAGCACCTTACTTAGTTTTGCAGAGTCATTTCAACCTCTGATTAAGAAGTTTCACACAGTCTTCCATTAAAAACAATTGATTAGTTTATAATAAGTGTTATACATGAAATGGATATTTTTATAACAAATCTTATGAAATTTAAACCCTAATGACTGGAAATATAGATAGCCTCTACAGACATTAATAATTAACAATGACAGAGTAATGCAGTGGGCGAATCATATATGAAAATGTAATGTTAATTACAGAATACTGTGAGCATGCTGGATGATCACAGTGGCACTGCGGCCTAAGGCATGAACTGTCTTCACCCGCTGTAACACTGGGATTGTGGATTTGAATCCCATTTAAGACACAGATATCTGTGTACATTTATTGTGTTTGCATTGTTCCATATGTAGGTAGCAGCCTTGTGATGGGCTGATCCCTCATCCAGGGAGTCCTACAAACTGTGTATAGCTTCAGAAACTAAAAAAAAAAAAAGTGGCCAAGGTCCACAAGGACTGCAGAGCCACTGATAGATGAGTATGCTGTAACTTACTGTTGGGCGTTCATTGGGATCATGAAAATAAATTTTAATGACAATCTCAAATTCTCCCCAGCCCGTCTCTGTCACTTCATATGGAGGCTTAACCACAATTCGGTTTGGGTCTGCATAACTTTCATGCAACTTGAAATGCACTTTCTTCACATAAGTTGACATGTCTTCATTATGATATGGTTTTACATAAACAGTCCACTGATGTGTATGTCCATCCTCTTCTCGTTTCTTTCCAAAATATCTTGCTATGTTTCCATAAACTATTGGTTTCACAATACAGACACCCTGTGAATTATACAATATACGGTAATTACATATCTAATTGCCCAAACTACTGTTATTCGATAAAACAAACTATACAAAAACATAAATACATTCCGATTTTCTCATTCATCTGTACAAGTATTATGATAGGGTGGTTCCCGCATTAATTTCATGATCCTGTATCAAACTGCTGTATAATGTTAAGTGAAGTAAGGGAACGGTTGGGTGGGAGGCGTTGAAATTGGAATTGTTGGGAAAATAGGTCATTATGACCTATTCAAGACACTACTAGTTTTACAATTGACAAACCACCCAGAACGACGAAAAAAATCAATCATAACAGCAGGTCCTCCTGCGAAAACACGAAACGGATACATAACCTCATTATTTACTAAACAAACCTGTAAAAATTATTCATATACCTTAACGCGTCCTCCAGAGTCCGGTCCATAGTCAGTAGGACCAGACATTCCGTTACAATTTATTATTTTTTAGGTATACAAATTGCATTTAAAACATAGGCTTAAAAAGCCACAACAATACTGGCCTTTAAACCGCTCACTCCTTCGAAGCCAGCAACCGCCACCACTGGCGGTAACGGCGGTAACCTCCTCCCTCGACTCGCTCGACTCCGCTCCACTCCTAGCATTCCTAGCGCTCCTAGCGTGCCAACTTCAAAAACTGAACCTCTTTGTAGGATGAAAGAAGATGGATGTTGCTGTTGCACGTGTGAGGTTGAGAAGGAAAAAAGAATTTCGAAATCAGTTTTGTTAGAACTGGTGCGTAAACGTTTTAATAAAATTAGTGGTTCTGTTTATTGTGTTGAAGCTTCGAGTTATGGAGTCTCTAGCTATAATACTGTCAGCTATGGCATGTGGATCTGTGGTTTTCATAACCGGCTTAAGCCTATATTTCAAAATCAGGTAAGAGTCATTTGTGCTAATGTTTCTTACATAACCGTATGTTTTATTAGCGTACCAGAAATAATAATATTGTCACGTGTTAGAGGTGTGTGATATAGACGGGGTATGGATTGGTGAATGGAACTCGCTCTACAGATCACTGACACTCACAGACTAGTGTCCTCAGTCTGTTACAGTCTTCACTAGCCGATTCCTGGCAACGGATTTAACACATGAACTGTAACAGTTTTGCAGAATTACACTCTCCAGATATCACATATAAAGCCTTATTTTCACAGCCGTACTTCTGCAACCAACTTTTCTTCACAGACCCCTGTACTGAACTGCTTCTCAAGTGACAACCTACAACTAACTGGGTCCTAGGCTGGCGGCCATTTCACACCAACCTCCTGGTCTTCTCTTCACAGGCTGACTTTCAACTGAACTGACAGCTGAACTATCCTACTCACCAACCAGTCTCTTCACTTCACTGAATTGCCGACAACTATAACCCTGTGTAGAGGCGAATTCGAATCTCTCTGCTGTAGCCCTGCGAATCGTAGGAGGAGATGAAAAGGGAACCTAGTGCTGGGGGATATAAGTGGGCCACCATGTTCCTGGGGGATATAAATACGGGGACCTGGCCCTCCAGGTTGGGGGAATCTTTAGCTACAGCCAAGTCCAAGTCACATTGCGACTGACGGTCAGTCAGTCAGTAAGTCTTGGTATCGAGCACCATCCTGGGGCTCATGACCAGATATTTATTGCTCCTCGACTGTTACCATCTTGTTTTTGTGGGGCACCCTCTCTGACGAGAGGACGGGTCTGTCTTTCGCATATGCTGCTGGTCCTTGCCAGCGCAGTGTTTCTTGGGTCCTAGTCCCTTGGGACTTGCGACCATATTTTACTGTCTCCAATTTGAGACTTCCCTTTTCATCTCCTCCTACGACTCGCAGGGTCACGGTGGAGGTATTCGACCCCGCCTCCACACGGGGTTATTAGCTACAGCTCGGCTGGTGTCCTCGTTATATAACCCCGGGTGGACCCAACAGAAAACACCTCTTCAAGCAGTTCTGTTGTTGTCATGGCAGTTGCCTAGCAACACATACTGGATGTCATTTCTGTAAGAATGTGTTTACAGACCGTTGCTTAGGAATGGGTGTTTATCAGCCTGTTACATCACAACAGCTGTACAAATCTGTTTTGAGGTCTCTACCCAGCAGCAGGTCTATATGCCATATTATTAATACTTCCTTTAAGCACTGGTAATTACATTTCAAGAAAGTAAAGCAAACTGTGAACAATATTGTACCAGTATGCGCCAAAATATACAGTACTGAAATGACAAGACGAACAATATTACCTTGTTGTCATCTGTGAGTTTATTTCTCCTGAAAGAAACTAACATACTCACTATTAGCATTTGATTTACCACGGTATGCGTAATATAAGTTTTTGAAGTGTGCACTGCCTCACTGTAGACAGTGTTAATATCATTCACGCAGATTCTCAATCATATCGTGGAACAAAGGTTGCTTCAGACTCGTGCAAAAGGAGACAATTTGCTCACGTAATGCAGGCACAGTTCTTGGTGGACCTTCACAGTTGAATACTCCTTTAACATTCCCCACAAGTAGGCATCAGGTGGTGTAAAATCGGGGGAATGGGACGGGTATGGGAAGTCAGTATGACGTGAAATGATTCTTCCTGGAAAGTTTTCCTACAGCATGGCTAGAGATTCTCAAGCGGTATGGCTGGTTGCCCTGTTCTGTTGATACCACTCTCTATTCATGTGAAGGCCCCTTGCACAACAGAACCTTCTCAGATCCTGAAGAAATGGTCTGATCACCATATCCCTGTAGCGTTCTTGGGTGACGGTAAGAGCATTGCCTTCCTCATCATCCATGGTTGACGAGACTTCCCCTTCCGTTGACACAGTACACTACCAGAATGGTGAAATTTCGTAACAGTAGACAGCATAACTTTGTTACTTGGTGCCATCATATTAAGTCTCTCTTGGAATTGTTCTGTCACATTTTTCAAACTCGGTCCCCCTTCCCCTGTATGAGTGGAAATAATACTCAACTATGAATACTTCTTCCTCCGTCAAGAGACCCATTTCCAACAACAACTGCACAACACAACTTCCTTTTCACTACTGGGAACACGTGTGACTGGAGCTACGTCCTGTCGACAAACGCACATGCATGTTCGAGATGCGCGAGTTTTTGTACTGCATTTTTTGGCGCATAATGTATTTATGAACCAATTCAGTAATGTGGCTTGACCATTTTGTGTTATTTTTATTCACAGGAACAAATTTCCTATCCGTGTGAACTGCTGGTTTTGCAATAACAACACTGATGTTCCATATAGAAACCGCAATTGCTGGGATTGCCCACATTGTGACCAGTACAATGGATTTCTTCCAGTGAGTTATGTTAATTGTGTGATGATCATACAGAAACCATGCATCCTACAAAGGATGTTGTACAAATCGTGTGGGCTGTGCAGGTTCAGTGACATACCAATCACTGGATTCCCTACACAAAGAACTACCCAGGTTGCTGCTGTGTTGTGCACACGGGAACGTGATCACCTGTAAATGGCCCTATTCACTAGCAGCACTACACTAATTATAGGGATTGTAAACATGGGCTTTTCTGACCATCTGGCTCAGATCGTATGGGTGTATATAGACACATGAAATATAGGGTTAAAAAAGGTACTGCAAAGAAAGTTCTGTAAAAAGAACATAGTTAAGTTCACAGTCATAGAGCATTTCCATTGAAACTAACAACGAAGAGAAATATTAAGAATAATTCATGGATATCTAGAGGAATAAAAGTTTCATGTCAGAAAATTAGTTTTTTTTAAATACAGTGGAACCTCGCTTAACGAGCATAATTCGTTTCAGAATCTTGCTCGTAATGTGAAACACTCGTTAAGCGAAACAGTTTTTCCCATATAAATTAATGTAAAATGTGATAATGCGTTCCATGCCGAAAAAAATACTCAAAAAAATTTTATGTATAACGTTTATTCAAAGAAAATTATATATACATTGTTGAGGAGCGTGAATCATCTTCATCTTTTCTTATGTGTGGAATGAACCAACCTGGAATGCAAATTCGATTTACAGGAAACAAAAAAAAATCGAAATAGTTTATTATTTATGATACATATATAATTCTTTTTTACTAGAAAGCTGTCTAGAGACATTTGTTTTTGCCGACGCTTCAAAATTTGGTGAAAATGCGACACAGTATTATCATGAAATAAATTTGTAGCGCACATAGCCACTGCCTTATTAGGGTGATGCTTCTCAACATATGATGCAATAGTTTCCCGTGCTTTCAGCATTTCTGTTATTGTGCCAGTAAATTGTTGCTTTGCTGTTACCTCCTCCTCCTCCTCCTCCTCCTCTGACAAACTCTCCTCCACAACTTCTTGCTGTGAAACACAGTGCAACTCCAAATCGTGCAAATTGTTGATGTAGACCGATTGTATGTGCATGCTAGATCAGCCACGCTCACACAACTCGTTCTCGTTTTTCAATGATTTTACGTTTCGTTTCTATGGTTATTTTTATTCTCTTATGGCTGTCTTGTTGCGGCTTTTTCTTCGGGGACATTTTTGCAAGGGTTATTAAACTTTGCACACAAAAAAAATCACAAATAATATGTCTGAACACAAGTTTGGAAAAATGTGTGATCACAAGCGACACTAACATGCTAGCAGAACGAGTGCTAAACACAGACTGATGTAGCAAGTGCACAATCCAGGACTTATCCTCTCGTCACACGTTATGTGAAACGTCGCTTGTTAGGCGAGTCATTTTTTTACTATTTGTTTTGCTCGTTATGCGAATTACTCATTGTGAGAGGTGCTCGTTAATCGAGGTTCCACTGTAATCTGAAGTAGTCACTGTCAAGGGATGCACTGAGTTATAGTAACAGATATCACAGAATTTATAAAGGAGTTATCTCTGAAGCTGAAAAAAGAAAATGACAAACACATAGTATGTGCATCAAACCCAACAAAAATTATGTGGCAGTTAAGTAATAAAGAAATGGGAAATTCAGGGAAATCATATCAGGATATTTGGTTAGAAAATAATTTAAAGAAAATAGCTCACCCTCAGAAGATGGCAGATACATTAAATTCTTATTTTATTGATAAGGTAGAAGAACTAGAGGAAAATAAGAGTAAAGGTAGTGGTAGATCAATACATAGAGTTAGATCAATACATAGAGTAGTGGACTGCAATCCAAATTCTGTGTATTTTTTCCGATTTCTGAAGAAGAAATAGTTTTAGTAGTATCCAAATTAAAGGGCAAAGCTTCTGCAGGATTTGATTAAAATCCTGATTTTCTAGTAAAAGTATGTATCACTTGTATAAGAAGCACTAAATTTCATATTTAATGAATCCATAAATCAGGGCGTATTTCTAGATTTATTGAAAATTGCAAAAATTAGGCCTGTTTATAAAAAGGGTGATGGACAAGAACTAAGTAATTACAGACCTATATCTGTTATATCTATATTCTCAAAAATCTTTGGAAAAAATTGTGTATAACAGATTGATATCCTTTATTTATTAAATTTAAGATTTTAACAGAAAGTCAATATGGGTTTCAGAAAAATAAGTCAACCATATCTGCGTGTCAGTCTTTTATTGGAAATGTCCAGGAAGCATTGGACAGGTGGTCATTTGCAGTTGGTTATTTTTTGATCTCACAAAAGTGTATGACGATCATGATATACTTTTTGAAAGATTAGATCATTATGGAATAAGAGGGAAAATTAATGTTCTTTTAAAGTCCTGTCTCACACTGCATTCACAGTAAGTAGCGATAATCTCTAATGACAATAAATATTATAGAATAGGTACAATTCTAGACTGATGAATATAAAACTTGGAACGCCTGAAGGCTCTATTTTGGGCCCGCTCATGTTTTTATTATGTATAAATGATTTACTCCATCATGTATCAAATGGAGAAGCAGTTATTTTTGCAGATGATACCAATATACTGGTAATAGATAAGGATAAAATTACTCTCCAAGACAAAATAAGAAGAGTGATGATCGAGCTAGAATCTTGGTTTTAAAAAAATAGCCTGGTTATACATACATACATACATATTTATTTCGTTCCAGAGATCTACAATTGGCAGTGCTGCCTTGAGATATAGAACATGTCAATAAAAAGTACATTTAAAATGATAAATTGTTAAAAATTAAATATCCAAGACATTTAAAAAGGCCACATATAATTGTAGTACATTAACAGTTGTAGAACACAAACAAGTAACACATCAAACCAAATCACAGACACAACACCGAAACAAACAACGTCAAAAATCAGGTGCCATTCACAACAATTATAAACAAAACCAGACAGATAATATTATATTCTAGATGTGACAAATAATAGACGCAATCTTTATCTATAGGAAGCACAATCATTCCTTGATTTCCATTCATAATACTCATGTAAGGAATAAAAAGAGCCCACCTGCAAAAATTTTTTTAGGGAATATTTGAATTTCTTAATGTCCTCTGACAAGCTTTTAATTCTACATGGCAAGTTGTTAAATATCCTAATCCCACTATAAAACACTCCCTTTTGCACTTTAGTCAGTTTACAGGTTGGATAATGTAAATCTAAACCCCGTCTAGTGTGCATGCCATGAATATCTGAATTTGTTACAAACTTGTCCATATTCTTAACCACAAAAACAGATATTGAGAAAATATATTGTGAATAGAATGGAAGAATGTTTAATGCTTTGAAAATTGGTCGACAAGAGTCCCTGTTACCCGCTCTCATTATTATTCTAACTATTCTTTTTTGAATTATGAAAATTTGGTCACTATTAGTTGAATTACCCCAGAATATTATACCATATGACATGATAGAATGGGCATAGGCATAATAAGTCATCAATAGGCTTTCTAGGGACATGGTTATGAATACGGACAAGACAAAAGCAATGCTATTGCAATTAAATAAATCGTATGACTTGTCTGAGCCAGTTATTACATTCAAAAATATAAAAAATTAATTATACATCACAGTTTAGATTTTTAGCTATCAATATAACAAGTAATCTAAAATGGAGCTCACATATTCAGTCCTTGTGTCTAAAACTGAATAAGGCATGTTACATTATTGAATCCTTGAAAGATGAAGAGAGTTTTTATATACTCATGAATATTTACTTTGCCAAATTTCAATATGGTTTGATTTCTGGGGGTGGAGAAAGTGAAAATAGATAAGTACTGGAAATACAAAAATGGATAATTCATTTAATGAAAGGTGTAAATAGCAGAACATCATGCAGACCTGTTTTTAAAGAATTAAAGATTTTAACCGTTACCTCCTTGTATATTTTTGAGTTGTGCTGTTTTCAGAAATATAATATATACTCTACAAGAAATTCAGATTTATATGAATATAATACTAGAAGGAAAGGTGATTTCCACGTGCCAAATTGTAACACATGAACTCTTAAGAAAAGTGTTATCAATATGGGAGTTAAATTGTATAATAAACTGCATGTTACACACGCAGTCACAGGAGTAAGACACAACGCAAAGCACAATACACATGAAAGTAGGAAGAATACTCCGACAGAAGAAGATAGGTGTGACTCGCGTACTGAAATACGACATAAGGATGACAAATCCTGAACAGTTTTAACATTTTTAGTATTTAAAATTTAGCAATATATATGACGAATATATATTTTAGTTATTTTAGTATAAAGACAACAGGGCATGCAATGCAGTAGTTCGACGTACATCGAGAAGCACCTGAAGATGGCACTTTAGTGCCGAAACATGTAGTGCAAGAGAGAAGAGTAAGGTGAATAAATGTATGCACTGTAAGACGGTCAGAATAAACCATGGACATAAATCAGTGCAACAGGACGCTAAAATATAACATTATGATATAGTTAATGATGTGGCTTGTTCAAGTGTTGCTGTTGTAGCAGATATGAATGCTAAATAAAATGAATGAGTGAATGAATAAAACAGGTTTCATTTGAATGACCCTCATAATTTTTTGATCCCAAATAATATGAGGGTAAGTCAATAAGTAAGTTACAAATGGATATAGAACTTAAACAAATAAGAGTACTGATTTGAAAAATGCTTTTATTTCTCAACATAATCTTCCTGTACATTGAGGCACTTGTCCCATTGTTTCACAAGCCCCTGAAAACCAGCAGCATAAAATTATTTGTAGAGTTCCTTTTCTACAGCTTCATTGTCAGGAAAATGTTCAGCTGAAAGATGATGTTTAAGAGGGCCGAACAAATGGAAGTCGCTTGGAGCAAGGTTGGGGCTATACAGAGGATGCTTGAGGACATCCCTCTTGAAATTTTGCAGTGTCTCATTTGTCTTATTGGCAGTATGGGGACATGCGTTGTCATGCAAGAGCAACACGCCTTTGGTGAGGAGTCCTGGTTGCTTCTTTTGAATGGCCTTACGAAGTTTCCTGAGGATGTTACAGTAGGAGTCGGCATTTATGGTTTGTCCTTGAGGCTGGAATGCGGTGAGCAATATGCCTTCATGATCCCAGTCATGAAGAATTTTATGCTGCTGATTTTTAGGGGCTTGTGAAACGATGGGACAAGTGCCTCAAAGTACAGGGAGATTATGTTGAGACATAAAAGCATTTTTCAAATCAGTACCCTTATTTGTTTAAGTTCCATATCCATTTGTAACTTATTAACTTATCTATGTAAATATGGATACTACTGTGTTCTGATCTATGTATTTGTGTGTGCACGTGCATGCTAAAGCATGCAGGTATTGGATGGTTCTCTGACATAATTTATGATGTTTTTATTTGCAGGACGGAAGCTACAATAAGACAATTCCAGCCCAGCATGATGAGTTGTTGAATCATCCAGTCCATGCAATCTCTCCTAGAAAACAGTCACTTTCTGATGCAAATGGAAATGGCCTCTGTAGAAAGTGCAACATAAACCAGGAGCTAAAAGTACAGCAGCTGGCTGTATTTATGCCTATTAATCCTGCACGTTATGATGAGGAAGTGGATGAGTTCAGGTATGCACCATCTTGCCTAATGCACATTGTAATATAAAATATTGATCGTAAATGTGGTAAATGCTATATAATGCTTCATTAAAAGACACAGCAGGTGTATAATAGACAACATTTCTTATTTCAGGCATCATTTGGAACGTGCTTACCGCCTTTGCTCTCCCTGTGAAGAGGTTCTTGAACAAACGCTACATAAACAGAAGTCCATGCTTCCTGATTTTAGGTTGAAGCAATTACATAACACCTCACTGTACAGTAAAGTGAGTATCTTTTGTTTTATAAGGTTTAGAAGCTGAATTAATGTGAGGGCTGAAAATTCCAAATTCTTAACTGATTTAGTTAATGAGGCAGGTTCTGCTAGGTTTGGTATAGTCTGATAGGGTTTTTGCTTACACATTGGTATTCTGTTGCATATAATTAGTTCACATGTTGCAAGATGGACATGCTATGTAGGTATTCAATTGACTGATTCTTGAGATATTTAACAATGCTTTTTTCTGTGTTTTAAGTTATATAGCTTGAAGTAACTGTGAATGATGGTTTTGAAGGGTCTTATCATTTGTAGAGGTCCAGTCTCCTGTAACTTGCTCTCTCTTAGATCCAAATATTCCTTCAACACTCTGTTCGCAAACACCCTCAATCTATGTTCCTCCCCTAATGTGAGGGTTTTAGTTTCACACCCCTGCAAAACAAGAGGTGAAATTATATAATCACTACGTTTTTAGATAGACTCGAAGACAGAAGACTCTAAACTGAATTTATAGCAAATGGCATTCCTGATTTCTTGCTGAATGTAATTTTTGCTTGCTACTGTCATTCCCAGTTCCTGTAAATCTCTTTGTTAGCTGCTTGGTAATGGCACTTTCCTTTGAAGTTGCGCTTAACTATTGGAAAAAATGTGAATTATTTTATTTACAAAGTTTGGTCAAGTACTATAAAATTGAAGTTGACTCCATTGGCATCGCATTCATATCAAGTTTAATAAACACCCTTCATTTACAAAGAATACAGTCTGATTAGCCTTTATTGTCCAAGTATGAGGGATTTAATTTTGCCACTTCTGAAGCTCTGACAGGCAGATTGTAAGTTGGTGTAATTGTGTTCATAGTATAAACAGTGTGATCACAGGCTTGCTCGGGGCTCTGGGTTCCATGCCTGCACATTCATAGTTTGACACATGGTTGATAAAGATTAACGTTATTGTGTTATTTTGCTAAGGTTATAGTAAAACCTCACAAGATGGAAGGTTTGGAAAAATTGTAGAAATGTGGAACTGAGAACCAGTTATTTGTTTATAATTTTCTGTGCTATAACATCTGAGTGTCTTTTACACGGAACTCATTCCAGTAATAACCCAGATTTTCATACATGCCGCTTTATGTTTCAGGGTTTTATGTCTGTCTTGAAGATGAAATTGTTCCAGTTTTCATGGAATCCTGTGACCCGTTACTTCACTGCAGTGTTAGCTGCATGGTTTGTTCTGGCTGCATCAGTTCATTTGAACAAAGGACAGTTTCCATTTCCATCTACAATACAGAATTCTTCTGTCTGGTCTACACTTGAAAAAGTATCCCCACAGTTTGTCAGTCTCCTGCTGGTAACATTGACGTATGAGATTCCTTTCACCGCTTTTGGTATGGTGGCCCAGTTTGCAGCATCCAGCCGAAAGAAACGCGGAAAGACGGGCATAATCTGTATGTGCTTGTGGATTCTTTTGCATGTTCTGTCTTGGCTGAGGACATGGAAGAAGCTAGAGAAGTACATAAGTTTGCTGGATTTTAGTATTGCACATGTAAGTTTTTAAATAATATTTATAGTCATATTGGAGCTGGGATAGCTCAGTGAATATAGTCACTAGACACGTGGTGGTTAGATGACTAAGGAATTTGGGTTTGATTCCTCGCAGATGCAGAGAGATTTTTCTCTTCTCCACAGTGGCCCCCTAGATTCCTGTCAGCTGGGTACCAGAGCCTGTTTCCATAGGGTTAACTTGGCTGGTGTGCAACTCTGACAACTCACTCTAATTTTGAGCTTATGAATACATGGTACTATACCTCCACTCCCCCATATGTTGGGCCAGTTAAATCCATATTCTCCATATGTAATTTAATTTAGATTTATTCATTTGTTTGAATTAATCACAGCCACACATCTGTTCAGCTTAACCTCAGGATATTTGAAGGTTCTTAAAAACATGTAGTAGATTCAGAAAGGTTTCTGTGTTGTTTGTGACAAGCAGAAGGCTTAGAACGCATATTAAGAATGGGGAAAGGTTAAATTTATAAATATCTGTGTATCATAAGTATAACAGTGGCTTCCAAAATTCTAAAGGGTTGTTAACTCTTTTGCATTCAGCCGATTTTCCAGGTATCTGCCCAAAAACACTCAGGCGAACTTGCTCAGTTTACAAGTGTCACTTCAAAAATATCATTAACAATGTGTTAAGACACAGATCATTGCACTAACGTTAGAAAGTTGCTAGATTCTGTATTCAACAAATGATGGGAACCAAAACCACAACATGAAGTAGAGTTTATGCTTTTAAACAAAGACACTTGTGTAGCTAGTTCGTCATGCTTAGTTCTAATTTCTGCAGCCAGGTCATCAGGGTTTCTTAAATTGTTCCTCTACCCACATTTCATTGCTTGATTCTTCACTCACAGTTTCTCTTTCAATTTCCAAATTAATCTCATCATCATAGTCAATATTGAGTTCTTCACTTAACATATCACTACTAGATTCTTAATCCACAGCGCACAAGGGATTATATCTAGTTTCTTCAATCCAGAGGGCCGTGGTTTGACTGAATGTAAAAGCATGCTACTAACACGTGACACTCCATTATACTTGTATATAAATGATATTCGTTCCTCAAGAAGTTCAAATTATGACTTCCAGATGACAGAAGAAGGCAGACAAAATATTTGTGCATGCATTGGTGTAGTCTACAGTGCCAGCTGGTGACGTATGATTGAAATATGACTGTAGAAACACAAAACAAACTTTATCGATAATATTGTAACATGTTTGGAGTAGATACTTCCATGGTAACGCAATAATAGCGAGCCGTTGCGTAGACAATGCCGAAACAACGAACGCGTTCCCCCGGAGATGAACGACAGAAGGCCGTTGAGTAACAATGGATGGGATGAAACATGTTACCAGTGTATAAAGAGCGTTCCCGAAGCAACGGATTGCCGAACATGTGAGATTGAACCTTGGCAAATGGTGTCTCATATCTGGTCCACAGAACACCTGTATAAGCCTAGGACAACAGATCTAATTAGCCCTCGTACAACGCAGTTGGAACCTAGCCTTCATAGAACACAGTTGGAACCTAGTCGAGACGTCGCAGAAGTCACGTGATACCACAAGCGATAATAATTGTATGGTGTACAAGTGTGAGTATCCAATAAAGAGTTGCTAAATCCGAGACCCACGTGAAGTTATTTGTCGCGTGACATACCCAACACATGACAGTATATTGACATTTGTCCATGGAAGCACAATCACCATGATTATATATCAGTGTTTGACCAGAAAGGATTAAATGAATCTCTTATCACTAATTTGAATTTCTAATTGTTCCTTAAAAGTATGTACATATTATTAAAAAAGGCAATTACTTACTAAAACTTGAACTTGACTCAAATCTTGAGAATTTTAATACTGTTCAGTTCAAACTAGACTCAACTTAAAAAAACTCTTCACACACTCAAAAAAAATACTTTTCTGTCTTCTGAGGTATAATGCCATATAGTTCGTTGAAAGTCTTGCTACCTGTTTCGCGCTCATTTCTTGCTTAGCCTGTTCTTCAATTCTGAAGATGGAGGTGACATGTTCCTCTGAAATATCAGTTACTTTCATCAGACTACACGACATTATATCTGAGAAGATAGAACTCTTCAAAACCACTGCTGTTGAGAACATCAAATCCTATATACTGAGAATTTTTGAACATATGGAACTTTTCTTCCATAAAGTTGCCTACTTAAGATGTGATGTACCCTCAAGGTTATTTTAGACAGAGTATTTCTACCTTATAGCATTTTCTCCAGTGGAACAGGACTTGATGATTGCTCCCAGTTTTTTGTCTTATAGTTAAGTAAGATGCTGTCAGTGTGAATACTGTGGAGCTTCAGATGGAAGAGGATGATTCATGAACGTGGAGCAGTTGGTGGAATGAGGATTGGCAGGGGAAACTGAAGTACTCAAAGAAAATATGCTTCAGTGCTACTTTGTCAACCACAAATCCCACACAACATGACCTGCAGTGGGATGCCAGCGACTGACCACCTGAGCTTTGGCTGAACTACCATTGCTTCATCATGTCTATCCATTTGCACATAACAAAGCCTGAACACATGGTTTATTATAACTGAAGTCAGCACAGTACATGCGTACTGAATGGGTCACTACACTTAAGTGCGTGATTAAATTATAATTTGTACATTGTGACATTCTGTTACAAGCTGGAAGGTTGCTCGTTCGATTCCCGATGAGGTCGTTGGATTTTTCAATGCACCTAATCCTTCCAACAGTACTATGGCCCTGGGGTTGACTCAGCCTCTAACAGAAATGAGTACCATCAGTCATCCTGGGGATAAAGGGTGGCTGGCTGGTGCGTAAGGCTGACAACCACACCACCATCTGTGAGCCAGTTGTCTAGAGCCTTGATGTCTCAGATCCCTGTGGACCCTCACAGCCTGTTACAGGGATAACTTTGGCTATTATCAGTACACTGTTGTCATTGTGCCATACAGCTAGCAATAGGAGTTAGTTAAATAGTTAATTCCTGTTGCTCCTGGAGCATAGGGCATCTGTGAAATGCTTCTACCAGATATTGTCAACTCTTTTACCCTTGTTCCTTGTCTTCCCCACTTCAATGGCTTCTCCTTGACCATCCTCTTCCAGGTCTTTTTGGGATGGTTGCATCATTGAGCCACCTGGGGGTTCAAGTGAAGTGCCTACTTTTCTGTTGATCCAGTGGGTTTCCTTAGGTTATGACCAGTACAGCATCATGGTCTCCTCTTTATCTGGATTACAATTGGTTGTTGTTCTGTAATGTTCCATAAATCTTCATTTGATATAGCCTTTGGCCAACTTATATTAATAATGCTAGTAATAGGAGCTGTGTTAATATTACTCCAATTACATTGTCTGCTGGTAAGATACTAGGCTCCCACAAAAAGGTGTTATGACCAGTTGGCAACATGTGAACCTTCTGAGAGGAGAAGTGCATTTGGGTGAAGAATATGAAAGTTGATTGTCTGAATAATGACAGTCTTCTGCTGACTGGATTTTGGAAGGATTATGGGATAGGATTATCGTCACCATCACCGTTGTTATATGCCATCCTTGTATAATTCATCAGTAATCTGTCAGATGACAGGTCCACGGTCTCTTCCAAAACAGTTCCTCCACTTAATGCGATCTAGAGCTTTCTCCTTCAAATGAGAATATACTCTTCTGTCCCCAAGGTCATACAGCATCTTCTTACGTCTTCTTCCTCATCTTTTGGTCACTTCTATCTGCCCCTCTATCTTTCCTTCAGTAACTTCTTTTAGAAGGCAGTTACTGCGTAAGCTATGACCAATCCAATTAGCCTTCCATTTTCTTATTTCGGGTAGGATATTCCTCTGCTGACTGACTCTAAATAACACTCCTTCATTTCTCACATAATTGGTCGAACTGATCTTCTCCATCCTTCTCCAACACCACATTTTGAAGCTTTCCAGATGTTTCTGATCTACTGCCCTAAGTGTCCAAGTTTCAGCCCCATACAAAGCTGTGCTCCAAATATAGCATTTCACTAGTTTCTTTCTCAAATTTAAGTCCAATTTGCTGGTAAAAAGATTCTTCTTCTTGCTAAATGCAGCTTTTGCCATGGCAGTCCTAGATTTAATTTCACAAGTACACCTTCCATCATCTGTTAACAAGCTACCCAAATATTTAAAACATTTCACATTCTCCAGTTGTTTTTGGTCTATCTTTATTGTGACTGGTGTTGGTTGTCTCAAAATTTTCATTACTTTTGTTTTTTCCACATTCATTTCCATGCCATAGTACTTTCCAATTTTGATTAGTCTATCAGTCATACCCTATAGCACAGTTTCTTCCTTAGCA